AAAAAAAAATAAATCAAAATGTTTTAATTAAATATTTTTTATTATTTAATAAAAAACTAAACGTACGTACATATTTTCACATTGAATTTCTTTTATTATTATTACAATATTCAAAACATATTTTTATTTTTCTATCACAATAATGCATAATTTGATTAACACGTCAATTAAACTTTTTTTTTATGTTTCATCTATTACAATATCCATTTCCGGATTTCTTATAACTATTACTTTATCTTTTTCTTTATTTGATGTTCGTATCTTCTCCTTGGTTGTTTTTAATCCAGCTGAAATCCATTTTTTAATTTCATCTATTGTTGCTCCTTCGAATTTCCTATTGCGTTTTATTGCGGCTGTAAATATTTATACAAAATTTTAATTAAATTTTTGTTACATTACAAAATAAATATAATTAGGTTATTTTAAACATTAATAGTTTTTACCTCGGTATATTTGTACAATTTTACTATCTTTTAAGGCTCTCGTCACATCTTTTGAGCTGTTATTCCTCTGCCCCGTCCATGTTAATTCTTTTGCCAAGTTTGGAACAAACGTTTGGCTGAGCATGGATGACATAAATTCTTTCAATGACTTTCCTCCTAGGCTAGCAAAATATTTATACTGCAATAAAATTAGTGTTAATAATGATCTTTTTTTCGAGTTATTTCTAATTTAATACTGACCATTTCTTTGTCTCTTTTTTGGTCTTTATTGTCCTCGAAATTTCTCCACTCTTCGAAACTCTTCAGTGGAAGGAAATCCGGTGGTGACGGTATTTTCCTCGATATTGGGGACTCCTTCTTTATTTATACAATATCTTTCTGTAAACATTTTATCATTTTTTCCAATTGAGTTATACTTTGTCTGTTTTCTGAAAAAAAAAAAAAAAAAAAAAAAAAAAAAAAAAAAAGAAAAAAAAAAAAAAAAAAAAATTAAAATTTCGGTGAAAAGTTGAGAAAAAATGGTGAGGGAAAAATTTTTTGGTTTGTACACGTTTTTTCGAGAACTATATTTCAAAACCAAAAGATAGCCACCGGTAAAATGACATTACAATTAGTTGAGCAGGAAGTGAACATTCTTTTAAATAAAAGGTAGACTTTGTAGGAAAGTTATAAAAGAATTTTAATTGAAAAAATTTGGATTTTTATTTAAAATTTTTTGGTACATATTTCAATAAAAAAATTAAAACTTTTTAGTCTTACCTTAGTAATTCTTGAAAAGTATCCATTTGATTTTCACACTAAAACTTTGACCGCACTTACAAAAATTTTCCAACCCGTTTCAACGACGTATCAGTGAGTACTACTTGAAACCAGCAGATCCCAGTGTGAAACTTAGTGTGACATTGTCTCCATATACCTTTACCACCCTTTTCTTTTATACCTGATACTGTATTTACCAATATTGGTCTTATACTAGGTACTTAAAAGTCCCACTGGTTTTATTAGTTTATTAATTAATAAATTAAGCAAAATAAAAAAATCAAAAATGTCGGCTAACTTTATTATTATTAATAATTTATCTGTTATAAAAAATGACATTAAGTTAGCAGTCTTGACAATTTTTTAATTTTTTTAGCAAACAAATTTTTTTTGAAAAATTATTAAAAAAAAAATTATAATTTTAATTTTTTTTAATTTCTATACGTCAATTTTTTTTTTCCATAATATATTTGTCAAAAAATTTCTTAAAATTATTCAACATCTGCTAAATTAATTTTCATTATAAAACTCAAAAAAATTGACAAATTTATGTTAGTTTCAAATTATAAAAATTTTAATTAAAACAAAAAAAAAATAATACTAAAGTTAGCCGACGTTTTTAATTTTTTGATTTTTTTTTATTCATTTAATTAGAACTAAAAAATATTTTTTAAAAATTCCACTTATGGTTTTTCAAGTTTTTTATGAATGAAAATTTTTTTATAATAATTTTTTTAATAAAAAAAATTCTAAAAATTTTTCGATGTCGGCTAACTTCAATATCATAAAAAAAATAGATTACCTATTGTCATAATAATGCCCCAGACCAAAACGACTCTCCGGCCAACAACCGCATCAATATTCCAAAAAACAAAAAGGGAATAAACGTGGTATAAAAAATCTCATCACCCAACTAAGTACTGAACAAAAATAAATAGTACCAATAATAATTACTAATAATCGGTAACTTCAACTTTTTCGCTTTAACTTTGGTGGTTTCATTATTGTCATCATAACTACAATCTGTACAATTGACTTGTGCTTTACCACTTTCATTACCTCGATTATTATGACATAAATTACTATTATTTATCGATAAACAACAATTTTGATTTTATTTAGATCCATTTTTGGGAGATAGACCACTTGTTTCTCCATTTTTATCAATCACAATCGACTCCGAATTTTTTCTGGAGAAGAAAATCCCTTTAAAAAATCCAAAAAACGTCTTTTTCTAGATGCTATTCCGGATCGTTTAAGCCATCGACCATATTTTTAGGACAAGGAGGTCTATTTTTCGCAAGAAATCAACTTCTCGACTAGACTATATCCTAAATTACGAAAAACAAATGCAATAATAAAATGTGTCGCAGTTTTTCAAGTTAAAATAGGTAGTTAGAGGTCTGT